GTGCTTTGTATAAATAAGATAACATTATAAATAAAACAGATTGATATAATCAGCATAGAGTTAAAGAAGGAATTTTGCTTTAAAATAATTGTTTTTACATATGCTGACCTCACTAAGAAGCTTTCATGCTCATTTTCATGGTAATTTATCCATAGGGCAGCATGGGTTTGGGCCATCTTCCTAATAATGCCTCAGCCCAAAGGAAAAACTTGCGTAATCATTATTCACAAGATACACAGCCTGCACCTGTAAATACAAGTGTCTGTGTATATGTAGCTTTCTCATGTGCTAGGAAACCATGCTTAGGATGATGCATCTTTTCTACAGTTAAAACCACCCTATTTTCAGTGTCTTATGCTTAAAGATGATTTCTAAGATTTGTAAAGTTGAGAACTCAGATGGTTTCCTTTCCAAACATTTATATTTTCTTCACCCTAATAGCAGGAAGTTCATTTCAGATTACATTCCTATTTGAATTGTTGTATTTCCTCCAAGTCAGAATAGAAACAAGTTGAGATGTATGATAAGTTTCAATATATTGTACAAATGGTGCTGTTGCTGCTTGTTTGGATAACATTGCGTAAGTAATTCATTCAAAATACACTGCCTAAACTCTCAGATAAAGGGAGTGGAGTGCTGAGTGGGTTTCTGAGAACAAATATGGGAATTTTACGCATTTTTTTCTTTTGAACTACTTGAAATACTTTTTGAGAGTTTGCATACTACAGGAATATAAGCTTTAGATTTATGTAAATGATATAGATTTGCACAGAAGAAATTAGTTTCTAGAATCGTGTTGATAGTAGTTTTACTTTATTTTGGTTTTTCATGTCCCTTAATGTGATGATGGTTGGAACAATTGTGAAAAAAAATTTATAAGAGAGAACCTTATAAAACCTTAATGGAGTACCCAAGGCAATTGCATTTAGTTTAAAAGATTTATAGTCAAGTCTGTATTTCAGAGAGCCAAATTGGATGCTTAGATAAAACTCATCTTTTTTCAAAGAACATAAATTTAGTTTTGTAGATTTTTTTTTCTTTTAGTTATAAACAGTGTGACTCTCAACAGCTTAAAACTCTCATGGTTAAATTTCTTATTTTACAAAATAATAATTTTTGAGGTTCCTACATATCCTGATGAGTAAAGATCTAATATTTTCCTCTTTATCAATCCTTCCTCTTACGCATCCTTGGGGGCAACTTTGGCCGCAAACCATCAGAGCTTCTGTTGTATAAAGTGTTCAAGCAGGTGTAGAGAGAATTGAAAAATCACATAAGCTTATTAATGTACTGCATTTTGTGGATTCCTCCTATACCAATCCACAGTTAACAGTCCTCCCACCTACCTGGATGCTCATTTTGGTCTACTCCTTGTACCCCTTAGCTCATTCCCGCGTGCTCAGCCTTTGTCAAGCTTTGGGAAATTGGGCACCAGAGGACCTTCAGTTTTATTCACCAGTCTCAGGCAAACATATCCTAGTGACTTGAATACTCAGACTTGTAGGCCTTAAGCTTGAATGGGCATGAGGACCATCCGAGTAACTTGAAAATAAATGCATATTCCCCGGCCCCACACATAGAGATCTCATTCAGGAGCTTTGGAATGAATCCAGAAATCTTCAACTTGAATAGCATTCCAGGAGTATCTGATGCCTCTGGAAATACACTGCCTACTAGAGCACTGGTCTCATTTCACTGATGCATGTTTGAATCACCAGGGAGCTTTAAAAATGATATTAATGCCTGGGACCCTGGCCTCAACAAGTTAAATCCGAATTTTGGAGTTTAGCAAGGGCATGCACATGTTCCCAAAGTTATCCAGGTGATGATCATCTGCAGCTTGATGTGAGACAGTCTACCCAAACCCATGTTCATCAAGTTGGTGATGCCATCCAACCATCTCATCCTCTGTCATCCCCTTCTCCTCCTGCCCTCATTCTTTCCCAGCATCAGGGTCTTTTCAGATGAGTCAGCTCTTCACATCAGGTGGCCAAAGTATTGGAGTTTCAACTTCAACATCAGTCCTTCCAATGAACACTCAGGACTGATCTCCTTTAGGATGGACTGGTTGGATCTCCTTGCAGTCCAAGGGACTCTCAAGAGTCTTCTCCAAAACCACACTTCAAAAGCATCAATTCTTTGGCACTCAGCTTTCTTCACAGTCCAACTCTCACATCCATACATGACTGCTGGAAAAACCATAGCTTTGACTAGACGGACCTTTGTTGGCAAAGTAATGTCTCTGCTTTTTAATATGCTGTCTAGGTTGGTCATAACTTGCCTTCCAAGGAGTAAGCGTCTTTTAATTTCATGGCTGCAGTCACCATCTGCAGTGATTTTGGAGCCCAAAAAAATAAAGTCTGACACTGTTTCCACTGTTTCCCCATCTATTTCCCATGAAGTGATGGGACCAGATGCCATGATCTTAGTTTTCTGAATGTTGAGCTTTAAGCCAACTTTTTCACTCTCCTCTTTCACTTTCATCAAGAGGCTCTTTAGTTCTTCTTCACTTTCTGCCATAAGGGTGGTGTCATCTGCATATCTGAGGTTATTGATATTTCTCCCGGCAATCTTGATTCCAGCTTGTGCTTCCTCCAGCCCAGTGTTTCTCATGATATGCTCTGCATATAAGTTAAAAAAGCAGGGTGACAATATATACAGCCTTGATGTACTCCTTTTCTTATTTGGAACCAGTCTGTTGTTCCTTGTCTAGTTCTAACTGTTGCTTCCCAGGGAGCTTTAAAAATTATATTAATGCCTGGGACCCTGCCCTCAACCAGTTAAATCAGAATGTTGGAGTTTAGCAAGGGCATGCGCATGTTCCCAGAGCTATCCAGGTGATGATCATCTGCAGCTTGATGTGAGAGCCTCTACCTGGCACTGGTCTGATGACGACAGTCCACCAGACAACTCTTCTTCCAAGAGGTGAGAGTCTCTTGGAGCACTTAATATTTTTTCCTGCCACATCAACTTCCTAAAGTCTACCATTCTCCACTCAACCAGGTTTTCATACCTTTAAAATTCATGGACCTCTGTTCGTTTCATACAAATTGGCTCTTCCAGTGTTGTGCATATTAAATGAAGAGAGATCTAGAACTAAGAAATAAGTGTTTTCACCTGCATTTGCCCAATTAATGCAACTTTTCCTAGAGCAGTACCAACAAGTTGTGTTCACTGTACACAGAGAAAGTCTTCCTTGGATAAAGCTGTTAAATCTTTTTACACACCCCATCACACACTCCTGTACTATAGGGTGTTAAGTTTTAGCATTCAGATCCAGAGCATCCTATCTAACCTGGGGCCCTGTGTGCCTTAATGATAATTTAGAATCAAAATGTCAGGCTCCTTCACCTTCTTTTCATGATGATAGAGTTCTGAGCAGAGCAGAGACCAGCTGCAGTGTCAGTCTAGACCATAAAGCTGAAAGGGCCATGTAAATCAGTCTGACTGGGCCATTTAAGCTGGTTCAATGAAGACTTAACTTTAGGACCAAGGTCTAAATGTTTCTTCTGCTTCCCCAATAAAAAATGAATTATTTCTAAAACCAATAGGGGGGAAATGGCTGTGGGAGGAAAGAGGACTTAGATATCACTTGCTCTTTTTAAGACATTTTTACCTTTAAAGCAATTTTATGTCTATGTTCAATAGGTAATAAAACAATGACTTGGTTTTAAAAATTCAGTCGAACAATATCTTGGGAAAACTAAAATATGCAAACCAAAATTATTTGACCCTTTTTTGAGACTCCATATGCAGTTATTGGAAATGTCAACTATGGTGTGATAGATTAAGATTGCTAAAAGTTTTGTCTTAATTTTTTTAATTGGAGGATAATTGCTTTGTGTTGGTTTCTGCCGTATGCCAGCATGAATCAGCCATAAGTATTCGTATGTTCCCTCCCTCTTGAAACTTCCTCCCCCCTTGCGCCCCATCCCACCCCTCTCGGTTGCCGCAGAGCACCAGGTTGAGCTACCTGTGTTATACAGCAACTTCCCACTAACTATCTGTTTTACATATGGTAATATATACATTTCAGTGCTACTGTCTCAATTCGTCCCACCCTTGTCCTCATTTTAATCTCATGGTTGTTATTTGTGCATGCGAAGAACTTGTACACAGAGGGAAGTAGGGAGGGACTTTGACACTGCCCTCTCCCATTAATCATTAATCGCTTCAAAGCCATCACAAGAAGCTTTCAATGTAACTTTAGAAAGAAACATGCTTCTTTTATGCAAATGGAGCTCTGTGACAAGTTTCATAAACATTCTCCCTCACCCAAACCTTCCAAAGAGTTGACTGCCACTAAGACCCTTCTATGGGCTTCCCAGCTGGCACAGTGGTAAAGAATCTGCCTGCCAATGCAGGAGACGTGGATTGGATCCCTGGATCAGGAAGATCCCATGGAGTAGGAAACGGCAATACCTTCCAGTATTCTTGCCTGGTAATTTCCATGGGCAGCAGAGCCTATTTTCTCTTTTAAATAATTCATTTCTAAATATAATCCACATATGACTTAATATCCTTAAAAGTGAGTATTAGTTGCTTAATTATGTCCGACTCTTTGCAGTCCCATGGACTGTAGCCCGCCAGGTTCCTCTGTCCTTGAAATTCTCCAGGCAAGAATTGTGGAATGGATGCCCTTCTCCAGGAGATCTTCCTGACCCAGGGACTGAACCCAGGTCACCCGCATTGCAGGCAGATTCTTTACCATCTGAACCACCAGGGAAGCCCCAAAATCCTTAATAACATCTAATAAAAACTGCTGTGTACGTGTGTTTGCTTCTGTTGTGTCTGACGGTTATCTGTTATTTTTAAAATGCTATAGGATCAATTTAATGACCACTGTGATTACTAGAAACACTCCTACCAGATTTCTGCTGCAAATAAAGAATCAAAAGAGGATTTCTCCGACTAAGTAAAACAATGTTAGGTTAATTCCTGACTAAGGGTGATTACAGACATTCAAATTCATGATAAATAGCCCTTTGCTTTTCCTTTAGCCATTACTTGTCGAAAGCAAGATGGAGGGCAGGCTAGCATCCATGAATGCCTCCGGTATGCAGGCCCTGTGCCAGCGCTTACCCAAGCCTGCCAGATGCCTTGCCAAGATGACTGTCAGCTCACCAGCTGGTCCAGATTTTCTTCATGCAATGGAGACTGCGGCGCAGTTAGGACCAGAAAGCGCACTATCGTTGGTAAGAATAATTGGGATACCAAAGCCAGCCCTTGCCAAGGCAGAAAAACATAATAAAACATCAGAACAAGATAGTTCTGACAATGTATTTGGAAAATGCATGGTTATGCCTTATTCTTGCTGTCCTAACACTTAATATGGCAGTGGATTCAGAGCTGGATTTTAACATAAGGTAGCCGAGACAGATGCATTGTGTACTTTTAGTAGAAAAAGTAGCCTTGGAAATTGAACTCTGTCTGCCTAAACAATCTGTGCTAGATTACTTTTTTGGTTTAAACATGTACCTTTGTTGAATTACCAGTAGACTGTGAGGTGCTTAGAAAAAAAGTTTCTTAGGAACACAGGAAGAGGTTGAGACTTGACTTTCTTAAGTCGTCCTCCTTGTCACAACCTCAGATTATCCTTCATCATCTAGAAGAAAAATACGACATTAATTCTGTATCTGAAAGCTTTATTTTAAAAGATAGTCACAGTGGTAAAAAGCATAACGAGCAGAAACAGGAGCCATCATGCTGAACTAAACTCTGATGCATTCAAAAATACTGTCAGTGGCCAAAGAAACCTAAAAATATTCATGCTAGTAGAGTATTCAGAATTTGAAGTGGTAAGATGAACCAGCTGTCATAATGAAGACTATTGAAAACTGTATAAGGCAGCTTATGAAAGTTAAATATATATGTAAGACATATGTAACTAGTTATGTGCAATATAATTAATATATATGGCATAAATATATGTAATCTAATTAAAATAATGGTTTTATTCAGGCACATATCACTATTGTACTCATTGTTTATCTTACAAGAGAATTTATTTAGATTTACACATAAACTATATCTAATATTTGTATTTGATATTAAACATTTTCATTTTTAATATCATTATTCCCTACATTAATCACCAAGTTTGTCAAAAGGATTGTTCTTCAGGACTATTGAAAGATGTGAAATCACAATCAGAAAAGTAAATGCGAAACTCTGATTCTCTGAACTATAACCCCTTATATAACTATACCATCTATTTGGACTTAACAGAAAGTTAGTTAACTGTGTGGGCCTGTGCAGTGACTGTCTCTCTTCATGACATATTTTTGTACAGATTATAAAGGAGATATTTATGCAGTTACTTCAGACTCCCCAGTCAGTGAAAGAATGTGATCATTTGAGAGGATTTTAATCCTTTCGAGGAGTGTAAAATTCAGCACAACAGTTAGTGCCTTATTCAAAATGGGCTATTTTTAATTGAGAAGAAAAAAGAAAATTTTCACCGTGCAAAGCACCCAGTGCTAACAAAAACCTACATAAAAAGCACTGCGGAGGGAGAAACTAGCATTTATTTATAGGCTACAGTTGAATACAGTTAAAAATAAAGAAAGGAAGGTAGGAAAGAAAAAAAAAAACTTAGGGATGCTTGGTATTAATAACAGTGTTTTCTAACTTAATTTTCTCCATAGGAAAAAGTAAGAAGAAGGAAAAATGTAAGAATTCTCATCTGTACCCCCTGATTGAGACTCAGTATTGCCCCTGTGACAAGTATAACGCACAGCCTGTGGGAAACTGGTCCGACTGCATTTTGCCAGAGGGGAAAGTGGAAGTGTTGCTGGGAATGAAGGTCCAAGGAGATACCAAGGAGTGTGGTCAAGGATACCGCTACCAGGCGATGGCGTGCTATGACCAGAATGGCAGGCTCGTGGAGACGTCCAGGTGCAACAGCCACGGTACTGCAGTTCTTCCTCACTCTCATACATTTGTTATCTTTGGGGTTGAAACGCACGTGTCTCAGAGTGGAGGGAAATGAAAGGTTACCGAGGTGAGTTCTACACGGAACACTGGGGCACCACCACGCTGTGTGCCTGTCATTCATATATAACAGGACATTCAGTGGCACTTGTCTCGTTGTCCAGAAGTTGGCAACAAAGTCCCAAAGTTGGTGACAGGGAAGCCTTGCTGTGCAGTGCTTAGTCGTTCCGTCGTGTCCAACTCTTTGTGACCATATGGACTGGAGCCCGCCAGGCTCCTCTGTCCATGAGATTCTCCAGGCAAGAATACTGGAGTGGGTTGCCATGCCCTCCTCCAGGGGATCTTGCCAACCCAGGGATTGAACCCAGGTCTCCTGCACTGCAGGCAGATTCTTTACTGACTGAACCACCAGGGAAACCTTACATGTACGCAGAATGGTGCCAGAGACCTCCTCTGGGGCTGATGCAGGGTCTGCTGAGTAGGCTTGACAATCCCCAGCAAGTCTGTGTACAGACAGTGGGAGGAGTACAGAAGATGTGAGTATAATTTGAGAATAGTTTTGAACTAGACAGACTTTTAAGAACTGAACTGGCAAGATTCGTGATGTGCCTAAGGTACATTCAGTGGCAGAGGAGAAAGATTGAAAGGCGTAATTCATGAAAACTCGAGCATCTTTTGTTTATTCATCATTAAGTTGAGACTGGCCCACACAAACAAAACCAGAAAAAGGTACGTAGAGTTAGGAAACTTTTGTTTTCTAAAGAAACAAAAGGCATATCAAAAAACGAAGCTAAGATACTGTGTTGATGAGTGGCCGAAAGTTTGTAAAGAGTAGTTTTGACCAAAGTATGTAGTGAACTCTGGTTCTATGTCATAATATAGTCAGCTTTAAGCAATATTTCTTCATTCTTTTAATGTATCTGTCATTTTATTATGGAATGAGATCAGTCTCCTATGGGTCAGCCTGAATCACAGATGTCATTTGAGGATGTCACAGATGTCACAAAATATTTTTGTACCAATATTTGCCAACATTGGACAGTGATCTTCCTCCCTTCATGGAGGTGACCTGAGAAAGATGAACTAAACTACTAGGAGAGAGGTACATGGTAGCTGCCCGCCAACCTTGCTGAAATAACTTCTGCTATCAGAACAGAACTCCTCCAGTTTTATTATATATCTCAGAAGACAACATGAACTAATAGGATCATCTCACATGATACTTATGGAATCTCTTAAATCTGTTACCAAAATGAAGTTTCCAAAAACCCTGACTTTTTTTTTTAACCTTATTTCATAATTACTGTTATATCAAAGTCTAGTGATAGGAGCCCCCATTATAAGACTCCATTATGTTGAAGCTCTGGATATAAGAATTTTGCAGGTTAGTATATGTGCATTTCTAAATTTAAGACTATTCTATGCATTTAGAACAATATTAAGTTTAGTATGCCTTGAAAAACTTCTGTAATTGCTTTTTTATTCTCTGTATCAAATAACATTTTTGTTGTTCGGTTGCTAAGTCAGTGTATCCAACGTGACCCCATCAACTGCAGCGCACCAGGCTCCTCTGTCCTTTACTATCTCCCAGACTTTGCTCAAGTCCACTGAGTCAGTGATGCTATCTAACCATCTCATCCTGTGCCACCCCCTTCTCTTTCAGCCTTCAGTCTTTTCCAGTATCACGGTGTTTTCCAAAGAGTCAGTTCTTTGCATCACGTGGGCAAAGTATTGGATCTTCAGCATTAGTCCTTCCAGTGAATATTCAGGACTGATTTCCTTTAGGATTGACTGCTTTGGTCTCCTTGTTGTCCAAGGGGCTCGCAGGAGTCTTCTCCGGCACCACTGTTCCAAAGCATCAATTCTTTGGCACTCAGCCTTCTTTATGGTTCAACTCTAATAGCTGTACATGACTATTGGAAAAACCATAGCTTTGACTATACAGATCTTTGTTGGCAAAGTGATGTTTCTGCTTTTGAATATGCTGTCTAGGTTTGTCATAGCTTTCCTTCCAAAGAGCATGCGTCTTTTCATATCATGGCTACAATCACTGTCTGCAGTGATTTTGGAGCCCAAGAAAATAAAATCTATCACCACTTCCACATTTTCCCCTTCTATTTGCCATGGAGTGACGGGACCAGATGCCATGATGTTAGTTTTTTGAATGTTGAGTTTCCAAACCAGCTTTTTCACTCTCCTCTCTTCACCCTCCTCAAGAGGCTCTTTAGTTCCTTTTCACTTTCTACCATTAGAATGGTATCATCTGCACATCTGAGACTTGATATTTCTCCTGCAATCTTGATTCCAGCTTGTGCTTCATCCTGGCCGGCATTTCATGTGATGTACTCTCCATAGAAGGTAAATAGCATAGGTGCTATAAATAGCAGGAAAAATGTAAATGCACTTCCCATTCTGAGGTGATATGATGATAATGAGGAAGATCCATAGTTAGTCATTAAAATGTAAAATTGAAGATCACTTTAAAATTGTTTCTCCTGACTTGTAGCATGTAAGTGTTTGCTCACATTTTAAATTGTTACTCGTAGTGAATCAGCAAGATAATCATTTGTTTTTAATATAGCCTGTAAGCTTTCAGAATGACTCTCATCTGTTCTCTCTTTTACCATGATTTGCTAATTAGATGCATGAGCACTTCAGTCAACCACTTAACAGTCAATCTTATTTTTAGACAAAAAAAGAAAAAAACTTTAAAAATATCTTGTGACTCTCGTGAAAATGTTTCAGTTCAGTTCAATTGCTCAGTCGTGTCCGACTCTTTGTGACCCCATGGACTGCAGCACACCAGGCTTCCATCACCAACTCCTGGAGCTTGTGCAAACTCATGTTCATGGAGTCGGTAATGCCATCCAACCATCCCATCCTCTGTTGTCCCTTTCTCTTCCTGCCCTCAATCTTTCCCAGCATCAGGATCTTTTCCAGTGAGTCAGCTCTTCACATCAGGTGACCAAAGTATTGGAGTTTCAGCTTCAGCATCAGTCCTTCCAATGAATATTCAGGACTGATTTCCTTTAGGATTGACTGCTTTGACCTCCTTGCAGTTCAAGGGACCCTCAAGAGTCTTCTCGACAAAAATGTTTGATCCCTTGAAAAAAGTACAACTACAGAAAAAACTGAAATTGACCAAAATCAGTAGACTTCCTGCCTTAGCACTGTCAATTCAAAGCGTGAAGAATTCAGTACTGTATTTTAAAAGAAAAGCACATCTAGGAAAAAGGTGGGTCCCTGGAAGCACTGAACTTCATGGAAATTGTGAAAGGACCAAAGATAAAGTGAACTGTTTGTGTCTATTCAGTATCTCTCCTTTCTCATTAAATCTGATCTATGATGCATATCCAGTGGGATATTTTACTGTTTACTAACAGTTTTACTCAAAGTCTGAGGAAATTGACTCTGTTGCCTGATTTCTTTGGAATTACTACTGATGTTCTGTCAATCCTGGTAGTGGAATGCTATCACTTTGGTACCCTATCCTAGGCGTTCTCTAAATTGCAGTTTCTATGACCCCTGCCTTTGCTCAGCCAAATCAGCTTTCCAGATGTATGGTGCAAATGGGGTTTTAAAGTGGCTTTCAAGAAAAGTCTCTTACAGCTTTCAGTTTAAACATAAAATTGATCCCCACGTGTGTGCAGTGCAAAGACAGTAATCCCCTGTCCTGTTCAATAGTAGCCTTATGGCATTTCTATTTAATCTGTGTTATCCATCTGTGGTTCATATTATCAGTTATTATACTGACAAAACAGTTTGACTGTCATCAGTTTAAGTATATTATTTTAGGTCATTTCCTGTGTGGTTACCATTTTTTTAAAAACATCTGTAACTCAAGGCACAATTCTGTTTAGAATTTCTCATAGTGATAGACTCTACTGAAAAGCAATACCAATACTCCAAAAATCAGATCTTAAAGTATACCTGGGAGCCAAATAAATGTTCACTCCTCCTGATACATGGTATTAAATATAGTTCCCACACAAATGTTAATATAGGAATAGATTTTTGGCTATTATCTCTCCTAACCTCATAATACAAACTATGTATATTTACTTTTGCTACGAAATCTTGGACAGTGTCACTATTGGCCACAGGCTGTAAATCACTCAGAAACCAAATTACACATTTTCTCCTCACTGCTAGAATCCTCTAAGACCTTGATTATTGTTGTTCATCGCTAACTCGTGTCCAACTCTTTGCCCCCATGAACTGCAGCCCGCCAGGCTTCCCTGTCCTTCACTGTCTCCCAGAGTTTGCACAAACTCATGTCCATTGATTCACCGATGCCATCCAACCATTTCATTCTCTGTTGCCTTCTTCTCCTCCTGCCCTCAGTATTTCCTAGCCTCAGGGTCTGTTCCAAAGAACTTGATTGGTTTACTAGAAATTGATTGCCTATGCACATAGTACTAGGTACTTCTCCAGTTAATCACTCTTAAAATTTGCCAGAACAGGAGGTAGAATTTCTGGAATTATGATATCATTTAACCTCGATATTTTAAAGAATCATAGAGGTAACCTAGCTTACGCAAGGTATATATGTATTCAAGATTTTTGTTGAAATGTGACAGATTTTATTATGTTGTCCCTCAACCCTACCCAGATTGCCCAAAACCCCTTTTTCTGCTCAACATTTTGTATTTCAAAAATATGTATCACTCCATAACATTCCATGTAATTTATTTCTTATATTTTTATCTGTTTTGCATCTCCTGTACAAAAACATGGATTGATGTAGTTACCTTTGACTACTCTATTCACTCACGTATCCCAAGCACTAGAACAGTAGGTGCTCAGTAAGTATTTGTAGAATGAGTGAATGAGTGAAGAGTTGGAGAGAATTTTTGTAGCTGTCTTTGATCCACAATCAGGCTTGGACACTTTTTTCAAATAGTGTCCTTCCCTCTGTCACAGTTCTGGGATATAATCAAACAGATCACTGAGAACAACTGAGATCTTTGGAATAAAA